TTCGGTCATCAAGGTTTTCACTTGTCTGGATCTGGTCTCTAGTTTTGCCAGGTATCAATAACTGAAGAGTCGTGCTATGGAACTGCGTTCATTGATCAGTTTAAATACGATCGAATCCCGTTCGTGTTAGTGAGCGTGTCGTCGAACGTCGTTTTCAGCAGACCATTGATGGAATACTGTTCGAAGCCAAGATTTGGTGTGGATGTTTCGTTATCGCTTCTATGGATGTAACTGAGGAGTTGCAGTGGTTGGTAAGGTTCTGGAGCGGCTTAGTGGCGGAGGAATTGTCGTTTTTTTTCCTCTACGCTGTTTATTTTCTTGACTAGGAGTGCAAGCGAAGTTCATTCTGGTTACCATGGAACCGAGGCTGTATCAGAGTTTTTTTTTAAACCTATAAACCAGCGCGAACTGGATGGATATCTCGACCACTGGATACTTTGGAAGATTAATTAAATATTAGGTTTTATTAGAAGATCAGTAAAGTAATCTTTTAAAAAGGGATAAAAGAATAATTATTGCGTGGCAGTGGAGCCCTGTTTCTCAAACGTGGAAGGAAATGTTGACTGAATGACCGCCGGAGCACAATTCTACGGTGGTGCGTGTAAGGGCGAATTAGCTGGCGTTCGTTCGAATGTGTCAGAGACCAGGTCGCATGTGGGTGCACTTAGCCGCGACCCAGTTGAGAGACTTGAACTTGAATTCCTTACGTGTGTTTATGTCAAGGCTGCCGAGGATAGGAAACAAGAATGGATCACCTCTGTCCAGTTATCCGATGAAAAGTCGAAGACGATTAAGGTAATGCTTTAAGATTCAGATTTAATTAGATGTTCACAATATTCATAAATAACCGGATTTATTGAATTGTTCAAGATGATCATAGTAAAGAGAAAGGAGATGAATAATGAAAATAAAGATCTAACCTATTTATATAGGTCGACCTAGTACAAAGCCAATGTTCAAATTTATAAAGTTACTGTTCGATTTATAATTTCATATTTAATTGGTAACCTATTAGTCTAGTTTAATTAAAATAACTAATAGTTTTTTAAAGTTGATGTTAAAACAGTTAACGATTGTGATCGAACGATGTATTCTATATGTATATTCAACAAGTGTTTAATAACTACAAGCGAAGGGACTCGCTTTTAGCAGGAAGGCCGAGCTGTAAGCCATTTCATATATTCTGTAATTCCTTAACGTAAAACGTTATTTAGTCTATGCTATAAGTCAATAACACTTTTGTTTATTTAATATAACAACATTAATCATTTGTATTACGATCCAAAAGATTATTTAAATATTTGATTCTCAAATATAAAATAGAAGTATTCAACTTATCATGTTAATTATCTGACGGTATTTCGTTATCGTAAATTAAAAGTATTGTAATTGCTCGTCTGAATGACGGCCATGTTTTTCTGACATTCGGGGAATGAAAATGACAATGTAACAGCGGTGTTTTTGAAAAAGTTGTTATTTACAATTCTAAAGGAAATATATGAGTTAAAGAAGACTATGTTTTATTTGAAAAAGTATTCTCCGGCTGTGACTCTCACAATAGTTAATTATATTTCGTAGTATTTCTATGTATGAGATTTTGTGCGGGAAGTTCGCAGAAAAAGGTTTTATGCATGAACTGGATAATTGTACTTTTAATTTAATAGATAGCGCGATATTATTCATCGCTTACTAAATACTGAAAGAGACGTACGATACTTTACAATAGCCTTAGTACGCGATAAATTACATACAACCTTTTTGGTTAACCAAAATCAAAAAATGTCGAACGTCTTTTGTTTATTATATGAAAACAAAGCACAGTATCTAAGTATAGTTCTAACCTAAAGTTAGACGTAGACAGGAGCATTAAAAACCTCAGTAAACAAGAGCTCTTAATACTGCTGGAATAAACATGTAAGCGCTACTGGAGAGCGTTGTTCTTTTGTGTTGAGTCAGCATTATGTTGAGGTACTGTGCGCTGCTCGCGACACCTAGTGTTTCAAAAACACTTGCATTCGTAAAGCATCTACAGAATATTGCGTTATAGACATTGAATTTGTTGCTCAGAAATATTTTGCTTGGAAAAATTTAACATATAACTACAGAAGTCGTCTCCAAAAGTCTGTAGGGAAGTTAAGCAAAAAAGAGATCTTAAGTAAATTTTGCTTTTGAAATGTTACTTAAGTTAGATTTTCATTATTATAATTGTTTCATTGTTATAATTAAGCTTGACATTGTCTCAATAAGTCAACAAAGCATAGTGTAATTAAACGCTTTTGTGAATAATGAATATTGATAAGGTAATTAACTTAAAATTAATCGATTCATTGATGTGTTATAATCTGGAACAAAATGTTTATAAATCTAAAAATATATTCTATTATAAAAGTAATGCAATTTTTAACAATAAACTAACAAAGAATCTAATGAATAGTCTTAAATCTATGATATAAAATAAAATATTAAAAACGAATAATTTACTAAAATATATTATTAAAAGGAGTCCTTTTAGGCAAGGTCCCGAAGATACTGGCAGCGTTCCCCCTTTGGACAGCTAAACTAATATAAAATAATTTATATAAATATTTAAATGAGAAACTAATGAATTTGAAATTCGCATACTTGCCTTTACATTGATTATTTAGCTAATAAATTTTCATATAAATTTTTCCTCTTTGAGTTTCAGAACTAATGTACATGATGGTTTTTTATATATATATTTACACATTTTTTCACATAATATCATTTATATGTACATTGTGGGAGCCGGTGAAACAACTACTCATTACATCACACTATTCTTTGAGATTTGCGAGAACAAAGGAAAACCAATAAAAATCTTAGAATTTAAAGACAAAAAAATTGACTATAAAATAAAAATAGCATAGTTTGTAGTATTTTGTTACGTTGAACTGTACTTTTTCACTGATTTATCATTTTATTTATTTGTTAATACTGGCAAGTTAAAATCTTCTTCGTAATTTCTTAATTTATTGTAAATTATTAATAAAATATGTTTCTTATACAACTCTTTGAAACAAAACATTACTGTATATTTTAAAATTGTTATTTGTTTTTAATTAATTTTAAATAAAATGTTATATCTTTCTCTTCCAGAGCATTCACGTCTCTTAATATATATTTCACTGATTAACCAAACTCAATTAAATTGGCGTATAATTAGAATAAACATTTTCGTATTATTTAGTTAATTTTTGAATAAATAACTACAGTAAAAAATATCTTACACTTACCTTAATAAATTCCACACGTTCGCACCATCAGCGACAGTTAAAAAATTGACACAAAACATCTTTGAACATGCGAAAAATTTTCACGAAATAAAACCATAAAAATCCAGAAACCGTTAGAATAAACTCACACCAATGTTCTAATTTCGAATTTAATTTTATACGATTGCATTTTGTTTTGAATGATCGTTATTTAAGTCAGTTTCAAGGTCATATTTTTATTTGATATTTGCGATACGCCGACACGCGACTGGTGCGCGGCCCGGGATCGCTCCGGCTACAGTGGCTGGCTCCCTTCACACCGCTCCCGCCTAGCGCACTCCTCCCCGCTTGCGTAACTATTGTTATAAATTGAATAATACTCTAACACCACTAGATACATCAATTTAGTTTTTTTCCATAGACATTTAATAATAATAATATAAACATATCTAACCTTATCAGTTTTAACGTCTGAAAATTACATATAAGCAATTAATTTCAAAATACAAAGAAATAGTTTAACAGTTCTTAATAATACTTGAAATATTAAGAAAAACATTTATAAGAGTAGATTTTGTACAACAAAATATTTCTGATTCCCGCAGCATATGAAGCTTCGACCGGCCTACATCTTTAGGGAAACCCACAGCGCATGCGTCAAACAGAAAATTAGAAAGAGTCAGAAGAAAATTGTTGACGCGAGTGAAAGGGACACCTATATAGTAGAAAGTAAGTGCATATAATCAACTCCATCTGTTGTCTGGGCACGTTTGAATTTTAAAAAGATGACTTTTGAACAAATGTTTTATCTATATCACATACAATGTTCTAATCATAAAATATATATTTATGTCTAGGTTCTATTTTATCGTTTTTTCCAGTCGCTGCAATTATAATAAAAAAAAATTGCATCGTAGAGTTTAATCCTTTATTTCCGAACTCTATTGTTACGGAATTTAGATCTCTACATGAGATAAATAACATATGTGTATATAATATTATGTATCATGGCATGTTGTATCAGATCAATTAACGTAGACTAATTAACAGGCTCGCACACTCCGACGCTTTTAATTATACTAACTTTTCACGTAGCGCTGCTACGAATACTGTAGCGATAAAACGAACGCCTCGTAGCGGTTTATCTAAGCATACATTTATTTATTAATGTTTTGTCACATATTTGTTACCCTTATTGTGGCAAGATTTCTTTTTTGAAGAAAAGCAAAAAATACGCAAAAGCAAAGATAAGTTTAATAAAAGTAAATTAAAAATTATTTTATATTGATCGTATATTTTTATAGAGTTGTATGTATCGTATACTATACAAAATGAACATAAGGGTTAATAATACATACAGTGAATGTATATAGATTGTGAAAGTTTTAGAAAATAATCATGAAATATTTAATATAATCTACCACCTTTCCACATTTCGAGTTAAGTGGAAAATAATAATTTCTAGTGGTCGCCCATTGTTCTAAATTTGAACATTTCTTCGCAATTTCTTCAACAATGCCAAATTTCACGTTTATTCGTTAACAAAATTTCTTATAAATGAGGTAGAAAGTTTTCACGTAATAATATATGTTATTTGCCTTCATAGTTAACATTATTTACAATTGTTAAATAGTGTAATAATAATAGTTTGTTGTTGTGAAGAGAAATCTGACTTATCATATTATAGAAGAAGGAAGGACGAATGAAGGTCAAATTGCATCGTACAGCCCGGTTTTTATGTCCGCTAAAATACTCGTAAGAGTTATTTTAAGTGGGATTTATGTCTTCCGCAATACGATGTATTGTAAGAATTCAAAGAGCCGACTGAAACGTTGATCTTCGCGACAGATGCCGCGTCATGTTACCCCTACTACCTGCGTCAACTTATAATATCTATAAAAATTATTCTCATTTTAGTTTTAAATCGTACAACAATGTTTATAACAAAACTATTATAGCTATAGCGACAGTTCGACAGTAATAAAAAAACTTAATTAGTAGTCTACGTGTTCTTATAGATTAAGTTTTAATCCTGTGCCAAATTTCATCGAGATTCGTTGAGCCATTCTGGAGGTACCTTTTAACAAACATTCATTCATACATTCGCATTTATAATATTAGTAAGATAATTATAACAATGGTAGTGGTCGATATAAGATGCCATCAATTCTGCGCTCCAACCCGCTCACAACCGGACGTGTCTAGATGCAGACAACTTATCAATCTTTTTTAAACGACTTATTTACATTTTATATTGTACATATGTTTGAAGTAATTTTACACAAAATTAGTTAATGGTAAAAACTACCCGCTGCATTACCATGTGAGAGAAACTCTAATTAGTAAGAACTCTTAGATATATTGACAAAAACACTTTATCATATCTATGTTTTAACGTGAAATAATAAAGTCAAACATTAGGTAAAGGTCACGTACAAACTTAACGATATAGCATAAAAATTGTGAACAATTTATGAACCTTTAGCGTTCGTTTTCTTAGAAAATATTTCTTTGGATGTCTTTTATTTGTCTCAATTGAGCTTTGACTGCCGCCATCATGTCACACGATGTAATACAATAACATCATAGCAGGCGCTACGCTGTAGAGCCACGTAGCTACTTCCGTAGCATATTTTTTTACATTTTTCACGCTTACGAACACCCGCATTCGAATAAATTCAATTGTATGATATAAGGTAATGAACTGGAGTGTGCTGTATTTTTCATATATTCTATTAACCTAATACAGTTTGTCTTTTACAATATCTCTTAAAAACTATCGTCAAATGTAATAGTTGCAAAAACGGCATAAAATGTAGAATGTTTAAGTTTTAGTGTTTTGCGAAGGTTTTAGTTCAAATCATATGCTCATCCTTCGCTTTAACTTTAAATGGATTCGTATGCTTTATATATAGACAATTCCCAACATAAACAGTTGTCAGTAAACATTCAAGTAGAGGAAACTACATAAAAGTATGTAAATAACGTCACAGCAAAGTTTAATAAAGTTTACACAATATATTTAAATTCAGCAAGTGGCCAGTACGTCCGGAAACAAGTTGCACCGATGTCAGCTGAAGCCAAGTTTTATTCAGCCTGACATTTAAGTTACATTAAAGTAACCAAGTTAGATTCTCACACTGACCTAACAAAATTTAAGCTGTTCTAACTTTAATTCAAATTCAGTCTACGTGACTTACAAGCCAGCTTGAGACAGTTTATAACTTAGTATACAAAAATACATAGCCTTATTTGAAAATCAATATTTACGATATAGGTATATCATAGTATTGAGTAACTTAACGCATGACCTCTCTTTTATGTCTTTCCTTATCCTTATCCTTTCACCACCAACTCTCTGATCTAAATGGGTCAGATACCCTTCTCAAGTTTCTTAGGTGTCGAAATAAAAGTTATAAAATAATGGCTACATAAGGGTAGAAATGAATAATATAAAATTGGATAGTTTCAGTGTTTTTTGATCAGCATTCTGTTGAAATACGACACCACAAGCGGTATTTATAAAGACGTTTCTGTTTGAAGAACAACTAAATAATTGTGATACTTTTGAGAACAGAAAATATTCAACTGATAAGTATTGTTAATGTAGGTAACGTATGTACAATTGCAAACGTCTATGGGTAGTGGTCGCTTCACCATTTCTGCGAATTCTGTTGACCGCTTTCTCGTTTGCCATAATTAAATTATAAAAAAAATTTGAATAGCAATAGTGAATTATCCGTACTACATATATAGATGACTCAAATCTATAGTCACGTATTAGATTCTAATAGAATAAACATGTGTCCCACATAGCGACACGTTGATAAGGCGCGAGGCGCGAAGTCACGACGAGCAATTTGCTAATATCGCGAACATGCGGTGCCAAGGTTGGCAGGCGGACGCTCCTCAATCATAGCCCGGCTCACATTTATCTAAAAGTACAGATGCACTGGCGTACACATTTATACAACTGCATTATTTCAGATATACATAAAGCTATTATATACTTCACTGGTACTTTGAATAGCACGCAGTTTCTCTTCCACATATTTACTAGTTGTTGCCTACGAACTCCATCCGCGCAGAATTAAAAAACTTAATGAGTAGTCTATGTGTTCTTTCAGACTATGTTCTACATGTATGTCAAGTTTCTTTAAAATCCTATGAGACTTTCCGGAGATATCTTCAAACATCCATCCGTCAACGTAAACATTATCTATAATATTGGAAGATTACAAAAAATAAAATAACGTAAATGTTTATTATGTTTTATCTTAAGATTAAAAGTAAACAACTCATAAAAAATATATAAACAATATTATATTACTAACAATTTTCAAGGTTATACCAAAATATGTGTTATAAAAAAACTTACATCGAAATAGACTAAATATTATTTTATAAGTTTACGTACTTGTACACAAAATTAAATAGACGATGCAAAATAAATAACACAAATCTTTGAATTTGAGGATTTTTACAAATCTTTATAAAATCCTAGTCAACAGTGACTCTGCTAACTCTATAAGAATCGCCGACAACATTTTCGTTACTATATCTTTGTTGGAAGTGACTCCTCAGATCTAGACCAGTTTCTCCACTTGTGCCGTTCATAGCGGTCACCACGTCATTAGTCTTCTTCCCAGACTTAGGACCTAGTGTTAGGTTATATCTTGTTATTTCTAAACCTATATGTCTAGAACTAAATGTCCTGCCCAAAGACTTTGTTCTTTTGACTGTAAACTTGTCTTTTGGCATTTTGATGTCGTAAATAGGATTTATGATGCCGGTACAATTTTGACGGTAGTTTAAATTTTGTTGTAATGTTAAACGAGATTTAACTTGTTCGAGATAATTAAGATGATTCTCTAGATCTTGGAGACGTTTTGATGATATGTAATCTGGGTAGTGATTGGGAATCTGCAAAAAATGAAATTATTAAGGGTTAACTACTATTATCGTACATACGTTTACTGTGAGTTTCTGAGAAAATGAACATTTAAAACAATTTTTTATCGATGTTTTGTCAAAGATATGTTTTATGCGGAGATACCGGTCTCAGAAACCAACGATTAGACGTATAATTAAGTAAAAGGCCCTAAGTGTTGATTTCCCTTACACTAAAGGACTGCGTTAATAATCATTGAATGTCTCTAGGTGTGATTCTTTACAACAATAAAATAACTTTAGTACGCTGACCTTATTAGTTTTGGTGAGGGTACGGGGTAGTGGTGGGGGCTGCGGGGGCTGCGGGGGCTGCGGGGGCGCCTCATCCCCGGACACATCGTCCGGTGGCCGCCTCCGGTAGCGCTGCACTGACTGTCTTGCTTCGTCCACTGACTCCGGTAACTTCCAATTACTGCAAATATCACTTCACTCATTCATAGTTAATTTAGTATTATGTTTATTTAAACACGATGCTTAAAAGTCTACGAAACGCGAATAGTATTAGGTCGTATCGTAATAAATAAAAAATAACTAGTTACAGGCTTAATTAAGTTTGGTAGTCATTAGTTTACATGGAAAATTAGGTGTTAGTAAATCTCAATTAGTACCCCACACAGAGTTCGTTCATTCCGGAAATGAAATTACCACAATGTCAAACAAAGGTTTAGTTGTGTCCGTTATTACACCGCGTGCGTGACAAATAAATCGTACAATCTGTCCGATGTCCGGTGTCGAGTGTCCGGCACCGGGTCCGGAGATGTTTGTATTATTAATATTATTACAGCAATTTGTACCCACCCTATAGTATATACAAACACAAATGTCTCTAAACCTTTACGATGCATACAATTCAACGGAGTTTGTTTTTCACCTAATTTTTATATTACTACTAGCTGTTGCCCGCGATACCGTCTGCGCTCAATTAAAAAAATAGTAGTCTATGTGTTCTTCCAGGCTATGTTATACATCTATGCCAAATTTCAACAAAAACCATACAGCCGTTCCGGAGATACCTCAAACAAACATCCATCCATCCATCCATCTAAAAATTCGCATTTATAATATTAGTAAGATTCCTTGTTGAACGGCGTTCAAGCCAGCGGCCACAATCATAGCCTTGAAGTAACCTTGAAATGCCAGAACATTGTCTTTCATTAGTTCTCTTATTATTTATTTTGGACACTCCTTGAAATAACCATCGTATGAGCTGCCATCTGTAAAGGCATACTTACTTGGCAGCTCTCTCGCTGCTTCTAGAGCGAGCGGCGCGCGCCAGCCGGTGCAGCGCGAACAGCGCGCCCTCCCCGCTACTGCCCAGGTATGTACACAGCTCTTGGAGAATCTAGACATTATGTTTTGTACAAGTTTTGACAACCAGTGACTTTTTATATTATCATACGAGTTCTTAAGTTATTCCAAAAGAAATATTAACAATTGCGCCCATTTTTTTGTGACACCAAGTAATTTTGATTAATTAAACTAGGTCAGACTACTGACGATAAAGCTAGTCGCCATTATCACGGTAAAACACGTTAAATAAGTCAAAGATTATTTTAAGACACAGCAGAGGCAGACGTCTAGTCTCACCGTGAACTTGCCGCGCTGCAGCAAGCCGGAGACGAGGTCCCCGAGCGCGAGATGCAGCAGCTCGGGCGCGCTCAGTCCCGCCACCAAGTTGGGCGGCGACCTGCCGCTCAGCAGCCACTCCTCCTCGTACGACCACCCGCAATCCTCCGCCTCCGATGTACCTGACTCTTCTGATGATGCACAAAAAAAAGATATATTAAATGAATAAATATACTGTTTCATATTTTCTTTGTTTTGCGTTTCAAAATGTTAAGTGTGATGAAAATGCAAGCCGTTGTTTTTTAAAACATTTCGAGAAAACTCTTGACACATTTTCTTCCAATTATTTTAATATAGAACTGAGAATAATTCACTTTTTTCAATTGATTTATATCAAAGTCGGTCCTAATCTTAATTCTCCAAACATTTAAACACTCACCATACAACGCATCCTTTACACCATTTATGAAATCCAGCGTCTCTAACAAACTCGGTCTACTCAGTGCTTCCTTGTTCCTCACAGTAGACCCGGCAGACCTCGGCCGTCTCTTTAACTCTTTGATGCTTTCCACTGGTTCAGTGTACACTAAACTCTTCAGAGTATGATACTTTCGTCTCAACGTCTTTTTATCTGATTGATCTGTGATGGAAATTTCTGGAAAGCCGTAAGAAGCCGGTCTACTTCTTCGTGATCTTCTTACTCTCGATAGGTTGTCGAGAGTGGACACGTCTTGTACGGAACTAGATGGAATTATGTCTGGTTTAGTGCTATTTCTCCAGAAGTTACCCGATTTAACACTGCGAAGTATTTCTTCTGAGCTCTCGTGTCGTCTCATGTTTCTTGATTTGGACCTAAAAATTGTATATCAAGGAGGCGTTTAAACAAAATAGTACATAGAAAAGATAAACTACTCCAATAATAGCATCTTTCATCAATAATGAGGCTTGCACGGAGTTGAAGACTGAGGTCGATGCCCATTGTACCCCAAAGTTTTCAGTTGGTAAAATAGGTAACGCACCCTCTATCGCCCACTAGAGCTGAGTGGAATGCGGCGAGGACACATCTGTTGCTCAGTTTGATCTTGGCGTGTGCCTTGTCACGGCGGCTGAGAGTCAGCGCCCGCGCGGAGCTGTGCTCGCGGCGCGACGGTAACCGCACGGGGCACGACACCGCAACACCTTCGCCAGTAGGGAACACCAGCCGGAACTCTGGTACAAAACATCACCCATTACAATAATAGCAAATATGTGAATGAATAAATCATTTAATAGATTTATTTAAGATATATCATGTTTGCGATTTTTTTTGTGTAATTAAATAAAAATAATAATAGATTTTATCAAAGCATTTCGCACAATGAAACACGCGTCTCTGCACGCATGTAGGAGCTAATAAATAAATGAAGCTATGAATGATAGTTGTCCCTCTATACGTCCCTCCCCCAGCATCCTCCCTCCTCTATCTGCTGATATATCACCTCAATCAAGGGGAAAGCTTCGCTACAAGTGAACTTTTTGAAAGTTACATTTCCCAAGGGAAGACACTACCAACAGGGGTGTATTCACGACCTCATTTTATATTTATGACAATGAATCACCTACTAGAAACTTTCCACAAACTACAACATTAAGAATATTGAGTACCAGTACTACATATTAATAATACTACTCGTCTGTAACATTTAAAAAGTTTTCCTATGAAAGTAGATAGTCCCAAAAAAAGTAACCCTTACAGTACAGAATTGAATCATTGCCACACTCCGTTATCGGTAACTTGGTACTGCCGGCGAGTAAATGTCATGGATTTATTGCAACTAGATATGACAACGAGCAGACTTCGGCTGGATGGACCACGCTGGATTAACTATTATTTGTAAGAAATTATTGTTAGCTCTAACATCGTCTTTTATTGTGTACAATTCGATAAAAAAAACTCTTGTTGTCCATCGCATGATTATGATAGAACCACTTTTCTAATATAATATTTATTTAATAACTTCTAGTCAATTTGTTTTATAAAACGCTTCCATCAACAGTATATCATAGTGCAATCTGACCCGGCATTAACTTTTCACCAGCTACCTTTGACCCTTTACCCCAGAGCATCACCACCGTGAGCGAGTCCCCTCACGAGCTCAACTCTAACTGGCAGTATTGAAATATAAATGCATTCGCACATAGACTGAATCTGTGCTGAAATTTTGATCCGGACAGGAATCGACTATACCAGTTGCCGTTTGGTTTGGCTGTTTTAATGTCGTTCTTCCCGCCCCTATACAGGAGCACTTTTAATAAAAATACAATACGAGTAAATGTACACCTAAAAATATAAAAAAATAATTGCAAATACAAAATAAAAAATGACACAAAAAAACAGTGAAAACTGAACTGAACTGACAAAAATTTTTCTTTTTTGGTTGACAAGCTAATTTTGGCAAAAGCAATTTCTTAACAATTTCTAGTTGCAAAAGATTAAAACACGGTTACTAACTTGGATATGTAATATTAATAAAAATATCTCATAGAAAACGGTACAGTTAGAGAACAAAAAGAGCCCAGCTTAGCACAAAGCGTCCTGACTGCCGCGCGCGCCCGCTGGCACAAAGCTGTAGAACTATGTAGGCCGAGTGCCGCCTTGCCAGTTCCATTGTGCGGACGAGAGGTAAAACAAGTCGTTTATTTACCTAACAATTTAATCAAAAAAGACCTACATAAAAAGTAATTTGCATTTTTCAAATTAAATTAGGGAAACTGTCTAATCATCACCATCAGCTCACTATATGTCCCCACCGAGGGACTTGGAGCCTACCCTAAGTTAAGGATGATTAGGCCATAGTCAACCACGCTGGCTAAGTGCGGGTTGGTTGACTTCACACATATCTTTGAATTTCTTCTCAGATATGTGCAGGTTGCATCACGATGATTTCCTTCTCCGTAAGAACGTCGGATAAATGTACATATGTAAATCGGAAATCGAAAAACACATTGGTACATGGTGGGTATCGAACTCAGGACTTGCAGATTGCAAGTCAAGTGCTTGACCACGTATTACGTATAATTTAGAAAAAGGAAGTAAACTAAGAAGTGAAGGAGAACAAACAATTTAAACAAAAGTTATACTTTAGGTCTGGCCAAATTGAATTTTTTGGAATTCTCAGTAAGCATTCTTAACGAAAAAAAAATAATATTATATAGCAATAGAATAGTACTCTTACCTACATGACGGAATCTATCCACAAAATCGACCATAGCCTTCGCCCAGCTCATTGTTTTAGCAGCATCCAATAATCCCATACACGGCTCAATCTCCCCGCTATGAACTCCCAAGCAATATTCCTCCAGACCCTTCAGCTCCAACTCGCATTTCCTAGCATCAAACTCTTCCAAAAACCAGCAATTTTCTATAGAAACGTCGAAAAGACCATCTAGGTAAGGTTTTAAAACTGGTGCTAAATATTTCTTATCTTCTTTAACACCTTTGTGTAGCCAAAGCAGGACGTGTTTCATCAGATTAATGTCAGATAAGTCTTCTTTTCTTAGTTCTGGATCTCTCCTGGCCGCGTCTATGAGGCACGCTGATGATGCATCGTAATAGCCTTTTAGTTTGTTCCACTTCTTACACCTTATTGCAGATACAAAAATTATCAATATTAAAAAAAATTATAGCCCTTAGAGTGTAGCCGGTTTCCACAACTATATTTCAGGGTAATGAAGCAGAAGTTTATACGTAAACTTACCTGTAAACCGATAATTCCTTATCAAACTCTCCGCTATTCCTACTTTGAAAGTTATTAAGATAGGCATCCCGCGCCTGGTCCAGCGCTATAGCCAGGATATGCACCAGCTCCTCTATGGACTCCTGGTGCTGGGATGTGGCTTGTATCAGATTCGCTTTGAATGTGTTTCCATCCTCCTACAGACACCACAAGTACATACAATTACTACATATACTCGTCACATGAAATAATATAAAACTTGTATACGAAGACGTCATTATCTGGTTATCAGCACCAAAAAGACTCAGCATGCTTCTACTGGAATTTCCATATACTTACATATGCCATCATGTTCTTGCATTTGATCAGTTCGTTGGCCACTCGGCTCAAGTACCGCAGCTGACGCGGACTGTAGCTGTGTGCAGGGAGCGAGGACTTGGACTCTCTGTTGACACTCTCCCAGCGACTGAACAATGCGTTCTCTAATGTCTCTGATGGTGATCGCTGAATTTCTTCCCCGACTGTAAAAACGATTGCAAAAGTACTATTCAAATGATTCCGCTGTGGTGTATATAGAATACAAAGAAACAGATAAGCGTTTTGTCAAAATCTTGGCGCTGATATTCCTTGCCTTTATAACTTGAGAATGGATTACTTGAATATCCTCACTTATTCTCACTCACTCACCAGCAAGTTTATGAAGGTGCAAAAGACAATTCCTGATGCAAGCGGCGTCAGACGCCCAGTCACCGTCACGCGCACCGCGGCGAGTCAGGCTGGAGCGCTCCACGGGGAACACGAACCCGGCCGGCCCGCCACGCTCACACGTCTGCACCAACCTGCCAACATACCACATTCAGGACTGCCCTTGAACAAGTCAAAGTCTAACCCATGGAAGTAGACTTACGAGTCTAGTACTAGGAGTAGATGATGCGAGGCGTGCGCGGCGGCGAAGCTCCTGGCGGCGACGGAGTGCAGCTGCGAGACGCGATGCAGACGTCGCCGCAGCGCGCACCACGCCATGTACCGACTCAATAAACGTGTGGAACCCTGACCAACAAACACATTTTCTACCAAAAAATTCTCAATATCTTATTTGGAAGTTTCCAAAGAGATTCTTTACTTCTATAACATAATAAATTTCTGACTAACCTGATAAGAACCTTCGCGCATATTATCAACAAGGGCATTGAGAGCTCCCGCTACTCTGGCCACAGTGGAGAGGTCTGAGCAGTGAGCGTCGAGAGCTGCCTCG